CACCGGTGTGGTGCTCTGCTCTGTTCAATGTTGATAAGTCGGTTGCGTGCATGTGTGTTCTTCCTGTGTGCTGTCCCAGCTCTGCGCAGATAGCTGGCACAGCAGATCTCCAGCGAACCGCCCAATGACCACAGACTCCGATAAGGTACGAAGGCACCCGGCTAGGTTTATTGCCAAGCAAAACATAGTCTCTAGCTCCCTGGATCAGATGTCTACAGTTCTGCTAGTACATATGTGAAATCTGGTCTTCTGTGTGCTTTTGGCCATAATTGTAAAGTAATTACCAAACAAGTGTTTGAAGTAACAGGAGAAACAGGAAAGGCAACAGGAAAAATGCTGAACCTAGCCCACATTTTTTAAAAAATGTCATAGCGAGAATGTTTAATTGTAAATAGTACTAAGTCTTATACAGGGCAGCTCTCAAAAAGTTTAATATCTTTAAGGTGATCGTGACCCAGAAGCCCTTCAAGGCTCAGTGGCAGAGAAACTCCTCCCCCCCCCCACAGTAACTGACATCAGGCCTGACACACGCATTGCCCCATTGTTGCCATAATATAGATCTAGGGCCCTATCAAATTCACGGCCATGAAAAACGCATCATGGACTGTGGAATCTGGTCTGCCACCATGAAATCTGGTCTTCTGTGTGCTTGTAACCTATACTATATAGATTTCACAGGGGAGACTAGCGTTTCTCAAATTGGGAGTCCTGACCCAAAAGGGAGTTGCAGGGGGGTCGCAAGGTTATTTTATGGGGCGCGCGGTATTGCCACTCTCACTTCTGCACTGCCTTCAGATCTGGGTGGCTGGAGAGCAGCAGCTTTTAGCCAGGTGCCCAGCTCTGAAGGCGGTGCCCTGCCAGCAGCAGTGCAGAAGTAAGAGTGGCAATATCATACCATGTCATCCCTACTTCTGCTCTGCTGCTGGCGACTGTGCTGCCTTCAGAGCTGGGCTCCCGGCCAGTAGCCGCCGCTCTCTAGCTGCCCAGCTCTGAAGGCAGCACCGCCGCCAGCAGCAGTGCAGAAGTAAGGGTAGCAGTATCGCAGCTCTCCCTACAATAATAATAATATATGGAGATATACCTATCTCATAGAACTGGAAGGGGCCCTGAAAGGTCATTGAGTCCAGCCCCCTGCCTTCACTAGCAGGACCAAGTACTGATTTTTGCCCCAGATCCCTAAGTGGCCCCCTCAAGGATTGAACTCCCAACCCTGGGTTTAGCAGGCCAATGCTCAAACCACTGAGCTATCCCTCGCCCAATAACCTTGCGACTCCCCACAACTCCTTTTTGGGTCAGGACCCCTACAATTACAACACCATGACATTTCAGATTAAATAGGTGAAATCATGAAATTTACGATTTTAAAAATCCTATGATCATGAAATTGACCAAAGTGGACCATGAATTTGGTAGGGCCCTAGTTATCACAGTTAGAAAGCCAAATGGAGAAACTGAATGGTCTTTAGTAAGAATCAGAGTACATCAAGGCTCGGTATTAAACCCCTTTGTGTTTACGTTGGTGTTCAGTGCAGTTACAAAAAACATCCAAAGAGTGGCACCATGGCGCATGTTTTTTGCAGACAATGTCGTGCTCATGCGGGAGAATAAAGAGGAAATGGATAAGATTTAGAGGGATGGGGATGTGTACTTGAAAGAAATGGCATGAAAACTGGCAGAAAAACAGAGTAGATCGTCTGTAGATTTGATGATACCTTGTAGGAAGACAACGGGACTGTAAGTCTAGGGGGCCAGCCATTACCAGAGATACAGAAGTTCAAGTACCTAGGTTTGATAGTACAGGATAATGGCGAACTCAGCGACGAACTTATAAGTAGAAAAGGAAAGGCATGGACTAAATGGAGATAAGTGAGGGGAGTGATCTGCAATAGGAGAATGCCTGTCACATTAAAAAGTAAGATCTACAAGATAGTGGTTAGGCCAACACTTTTGTTTGACTGAATGCTGGACACTAAGGAAGAGACCGGAGCAGATCTTGAATACAGTGGAAGTGGCAATGATAAAATAGATGCCGTAAGTTACAATGTTTAACCATGTTTGGGACAAACGAATTAGGGGAAATGTGAAGGTGGTATCAATTATAGAAAAGCTGAGGGAATCCAGGCTTAGATGGTTTGGGCACATGAAAAGAAGACCAGAAGAATATATAAGAAACTGTGTTAAATTTAGAAATGGAAGGTAAGAGAAGGGTTAGAAGACCCAAAACTATGGATGTCACACAAGTATTTGATTAGCTGTGGAGTTTCTGAGGAACTGGTTAAAGACAGACCGTAATTGAATTACGGGATGTGTGCTGCACCTGCACATTGTGGCAAATGCTGGAGCAAGTGCTGTTTGTGGGCATACTACAATAATTCACATAAACCAAGATAGTTAACTTGGCCTCAGTGAAACATCAGAGAAATAAAAAGGGCTAGAAATATTTGGCTGAAATGTTTAACCATGGCTGAGATTTCTACTATGGTTATACCAAAGTCATATAACTGCTAGAGATGGTCAGAAAATGGGTTTATTTTCTACAGAAAATGAAAATTATTTTCATTGAAAAACTGAAAGGCGAAATGTTTTTTCACCAAAAACTCAAAGTTGAAGTTTTCTGGGGAAAGAAAACGCTTTCCACCAATGTTCATTTAGTTCAGTACTCAGTTTTCTGTTGAAAAACAGTTTTAATGGAAAATTTTCAACCAACCCTTTAACAACAGGGATTGGTTCACTTAGTCAACTCTGCAAAACTTAAATTTTATTAAAAACGGCTATTTTAAATTCACTAGTTTGCATCATTATGTTTGGATTGAAATGCATGACTTAATAATGTTTTTCTTCCAAACTAATAAAAATCCAAACCAAGCTGCTAGATGTTTCAGATTAGTGTGGGTGATATATAATTCATATTTTTGGGTAGTTTGGCGTTCTGCCTAACCCGGGAGTGGGTCTCCCTCCCCCATTCTAATTTTATCCTTCAGACAGGAAATTCATGTTGCAGATTGAAGTGGTTTGTGTGTTGTTAGTTTTTTCCTCACTTTTGATTATTATTTCTATAGTTTTTATAAAGAACACTGATAAGTAATCAAATATTTTTGGATTAAATGTTACACCTTGGGGTAACAAGAATTATCTTTTGGATTTGTCTTGTTCATGTTCTTTTTTTCCATTGGGTTTTGTTCTGCTCCTCCTGAACTGCTCTTAAGAAAAAAAGTAAGGAAAAAAAAAGACTGAGTAACCCGGAAAGGGATTGGATTTTGTATTCCTTGCTAAGCAATTTTCTTAATGGGAGGTGTAGCATTTGCTTTTTATTTATTTATTTATTTATTTTTAACTGTTTAATGAATCTGACCTGAATCTGCTTTGAGCTCAGTAAAGATTTCTTAGCATAGTCTTGCCATCTTATTTGGCATGAGTGTGCTGGATTTGTAATGGAGTTAGACTTGAGGGCAAAAATTGGGAAGATTTTAAGTAATATACTTAGAGCGTCTAGTTTTTGGTTTCATATACTATGTACTTGTCAAATTTAATGATTTAATGGTTTAAATAAAAGACTTAAGGCCAACCTCTGCCCACTGGTGCTACAGCTATGTGCTTTATGGCAGAATTTGGCACTGAAATGTTTTCATGTATATCTTTGAGTTCCTAGACACTGCCTCTAGCCAATTTCCTATTGGAAAGCATTGGAGGGTTGACTGCTCGCAGCAGGCATCTTGGAAGCATGGTCGCTAATGATTCAGTAAACTTATTTTTCTTGTGATTATTTACTGATTTTTTTTTAACAGCTGGCAAACAGCTTCAACTATGATGTGGATGTGAATTTTCTTGACTAAGCAGGCATTATTTCAGGGAGAAGTAAATGATTTTAGAATGGGTACCCTCTTCCCCATTTGTGTTACCTGCTTCATAGAAATAAGAAATTAGTAATATGGAGAACAGGGGACAATAACACAGAGTAAAAGATAAGGACCTTTTGCTTATCTATGCAGAAGGGATATATAATGCATGAATGATGACTGTATTCATAAGTAAATGTAAAAGAAGCATTCAATACTGTGAAATGTCTGAAGGTGTAAAATTAGAGTTTAATGGTGAGCTTCCTACATTGCCAGTGATTAAAGGTGAATGCTGTTGAGTGCTGAATTCTGGATTCTGTTCAGGTTTCCTCACCACTATCCTTGCATTCTGACTGTCCTTCGGAGTAATTTTTCATTTTAGAGGATGGATAGGGATGGAAAACTGGCTTCTAGTTCACCTGTTCCTCATTCAAGTAAGATGAGTCACTCAGACCAAACTCAGTGCCATTTCACAAACAGATTACGCCTTCTGTAGACTGTGTGTGTCATTCCCAGAGGAGTTCCTGAAGTACTGTTTGTAATATGACAATGAGTTGGATTGTTGCGAGGCAGTCAACAAGAGTTGTAAACTGTGCAAGTGGACTTTTAAAATAGTTTTTGCTTTAAACTTCCTTTTGTTCTGTGTCCCAGATAGTCTTAAAGATCATGACTCATTTTTCTTCACTGCAACCCACCCTGTCATTAAAGCCATCATTGGAATGGGTAAAATTCTTGTGACTTGGACTGCTTAATGGGCTGTGGAGTGTTACAGTGCAGTCCTTCATTCCTAGAGTGTACCCCAGGGGTTCTCAGACTTTTGTACTGGTGACCCCTTTCACATACCAAGCCTGTGAGTGCGACCCCCCTTAAATATATAAAAAAGTGTTTTTAATGTATAACACCATTATAAATGCTAGAGGCAAAGCGGGGTTTGGGGTGGAGGCTGACAGCCCGTGACCCCCCCATGTAATAATCTTCTGACCCCCAGTTTGAGAACCACTGGTGTACCCAGTCTGCTGCCAATCTAAGGACTGAGACACCAGCGTTAGGAATTGAGTTTAGAAGTCACACTGCTACAGCTGGGTTATAAGCCGGTCCTTTAAACAATCCTTAATAAAGAGTTATCAATTTAGTGACATCCAATGGTGTATTCTCTCTCTTCAGGCTATGACTTCTGCCAGGTCCTCCAGTGGTTTGCTGAGCGGGTTGACCGCATCATCCTCCTCTTTGATGCCCATAAGCTGGATATTTCTGATGAGTTCTCTGAGGCTATTAAATCATTCCGTGGCCAGGATGACAAGATTCGAGTGGTGCTGAACAAGGCTGACCAGGTGGACACCCAGCAGTTGATGAGGGTCTATGGTGCACTCATGTGGTCCCTGGGAAAGGTGATCAACACTCCAGAGGTGTTGCGAGTCTACATTGGTTCTTTTTGGGCCCAGCCTCTACAAAACACAGAGAACCGCAGGCTCTTTGAGGTGGAAGCCCAGGATCTCTTCCGAGACATTCAGAGTCTCCCACAGAAGGCAGCTGTGCGGAAACTCAATGATCTCATCAAGAGGGCAAGACTTGCAAAGGTAAAACAGGAATAGAGCCAACTTTATTTTCAATGACCAATCTCTTCTATGTTTGTTTCATTCATTCTTACTCTCTCCTCTCATGTCTTTCCCTCCCCACCCAGAAACAAGGTGTTTTCTGGAAAATGGATACGGTTAACAAAGTTAAAGGAAAAATTATTGTTAAATTATGTGTTGGAGATGGACAGTAATGTGGTGAGCCAATCAGTGGACCCTTCTAGATGGCCATAGAAGGAAAAGTACTGTGTTTTAGGATGCTGCTTCTCTCTGCCTTTTGACGGAGACTTGAAATCTTCTAGGATACCTCCTCTTTCTAGTAAGGAGAACTTCATACTACTAACATAACTAGGGGGGGATATGATAGAGCTCTGTAAAATCATGAATAATGTGGAGAAAGTGAATAGGAAGTGTTATTTACCCCTTCACATAACACAAGAACTAGGGGTCACCAAATGAAATTAATAGGCAGCAGGTTTAAAACAAACAAAATAAATACTTCTAAACACAATGCACAGTCAACCTGTGGAACTCATTGTCATGGGATGTTGTGAAAGCCAAAACTATAACTGTTCAAAAAAGAATTAGGTAGGTTCATGGAGGGATAGGTCCATCAATGGCTATTAGTCAAAATGGTGAAGGATACAACTCTGTGCTGCACAAGTGCCTAAACCTCCAATGGCCAGAAGCATCTGGCACTACCCACTGTCACAGACAGGATACTGGTCTAGATGGACCATATGGTCTGATCCAGTAGGGCCATTCGTATGTACTCCCTGGAGCTCATCAACAGCTGCTAGGCAGAGCAGCTGATGACTGAATAAAACAAGATGCCCCCTTCACCAAAATGCCAAGTGTACCACCTTCACAGCACTTGCGGTTCCTGGATCAAAGATCACAGTTCAGACCCAGACACTTACTTCCTCTCGCACATATGGCAGCACACAGCATTTGTACTAGATCATGGCCAACCAACCTACTGCCCATGGGAAGTAACTTCTCCTTAATCAAAATTTATGTTGATTTTTTTTATATATATATATATACCACACATACCCCACTTTGGCACTTCACATCTATTAAAAGGAGTAATACTGCCATATTGAAACTTAAAAACATTCACTTACTTAACAGAACTGCCCGTATATCACTGTTGTGCAAGCCAACCCAATGGTAAAAGTAATATCCCCTGATTAAACCTTCTGTATTCCCAACCCATCATCTCCCACATACTCAGCTAAAGGTGGGCTTGGCATCATTTCCAGAAGAAATCCTAGTCTCTGACAGACCTGGGAGGAAGTGAGTTCTAAGAGGTCCATTCAAGGCAGATGCCCTACCAACATTGTCCTCTGTTTTAAACGACAGAAAATAGTATTTGCATGTGCTAATCAGATAACTGCTCCTTGCAGTAGCTACTTGACTTGTGTTCATATGTCTAGGCTTGGCAGTATTTGATTTTTATTTAGATTGCCTATTGAAAGTGTGGACTTAATTTTTTGTTAGGCCTCTAATTATTCTTCAAACTAGCATCTTATTTGTAAAGCTCTTGGAATCATCACCAGATTGCTTGTTTATAATTTTAAAGCTTTCTGATTATTACTTACGCTAGTCTTCAAAATCCCTACTTAATGACACTAGCTTCTGCTGTCCTTTCCTGTCTAGGCCCAACCTGGATAAACTTCAATTGCTGTGTTTTAAATGGTTTCCTCTAAATATTTCCTTCTCTTCCGTAGTAGACTTCCTTTATTGTATAGTATTAAAATTCCAGATAGAATACTAGCAAAAGTACTCTGATATTCTGTTCTTCTGCAAAGCCCTAGGGAATGTTTAATAATTAGCACCTTTCCTTTTCTAAATCTCAGCAGGCAAATGATTTGAAAATGTTTTTTGCTGAAAAATCGGAAGGAAGAAAAATCAAATAACTTTGAAGCTATTGTAGAAGAAATTTGCTACTTATTAAAGATTTCTGTGACATACAAATGCAGATGATGGTATTTTGGGGCTTGTCTGCATGGGTAAATTATACCTGTGTAGGCTAAGGTGCGAGTTTGAACCTATAATATAGTTATACTGGTCTAACATCCTGTGTGAACATTCTTATTACGGTATCTGAGGGCCTTTTATCAGTTTGTCGCTTGGGAAACTAAACCAAAGAAAAAGCCACTCTTACACTGGAATAAGAATGTCTATGTGGGGGGGTTGTTATGCCATTTTAACTATATGGTTTAATTGACTATACAGTAAAACTTTCCTGTGTAGGCAAGCCCTTAGTGAAATGAGTTAGTGATGTGGAAAATTGGGGACTAGGACTACTGATATTGCCTGGAATATTTTGAAAAAAATATCTTTAGAAACAATTGTCAATCATTATTTAAAATTCCATTTTGATATCATGTTTCTATTAATATTTGTTTCTTAAAAGTTAATCTGTCCTTCCTGCAGTTCTCATCTGATTTAATCAATCTTATTGGCATACTAATCCCTTTCAAAGTAATTGATTGTGATGACTGAGAAGCATCAAGAGCAGATGACTCTTAATCAACAGAAATCCTGTTTAAATACAAAATAAAAATGGATGAAATTGAATTTTTTTAAGTGAAATTAATGTTCATTGAATGTAGTAAATTGACAGCCATGGAAAGGGAAGTCAGCTGCTTATCCAAGCAACAGCAGTGTAATATGTCTCAGTCCTAGCTGATCTTAAAATAGCTGTCATTCAGAAACACATTTTTTATGCAGAGCTGCACACTCTTCTTTGAACAAAATCATTGTGAAGTATTTTATCTTGGTCCATTTCTCTAAACACCCGCAACACCTTCCCAGTCTGTCCTGAAACTCATAACATATCCAAAAATAAAACAAGTGAATTCCCATCTCACTGTCAAGTTCTTATCATTCCTTTCTTATCTTATCATTCCTTTCTAGTGTCACTTCAAAGCCACAAGGGTGTTAGGTATTCGTTATAAAATATTTTGAAGATGGAAAACATTCTTATATTATAAAACATGTGTGATATTTACGGAATTGTAGTCAGTTGGAATAAAAGTGCAGGATTGTAGTAATTGTGCCTTTCAAACTTGCAGTTCCATATTTTTCCTAGATGCTTTATACATATATAAATCTATTAAATCCTGTAGGGCTGTTATTAATTGGTATTGTGTTAGAAGTGTGCATTACCCATACATCTCCCTTCCTGCAGATCTAGAATTTGTATACCAAAAGTTGTCATTTTAATTTTTTCTCCATTCCTCCATCTGTGCAAAAATTTAAACACAAACATGTGTGAAAACAAAAATGTATAGTGTTTTTTGTTTGATTGTTTTTATGTGTAGGAGCAACATTGATCTGTATATGGTCTGTCAGTGATTAGAGGACTGCAGTAGCTGTCCACAGACCTTGACTGTAATGATCCTTCCATTAGATCTTGAAGGAATAGTGAATTAATCACATTTAAGATGACCAAAATGAAGCCAAAGGAGCAAAAATATTTCAAATACAACCCCAGCAGTATTCCTCCAATTCTTCATTATTATTCTCCCTCCCCTGGTAATGATGTAACTGATTCTTACAGTTGTCATTTATCATGTACTTAGAGACATATCATATTTCAGCATTAGTATTCCTTGTATCAGTGTCTTTCTCAATAATAGCACTCTAGTTTAAATAATTGAAATATACACATTGTGAACATTCATACACTAACTCTTTTCTTCCTCATTGCTATAAGAAATAGGTTTCACCTATCTGAGAATGTAACAATCATAGTGTTCTCTGCAATGATGCATTTAAAGGATAACAGGAATTTTATAAACAATGTTCAGTTTGTCAGACTTCTAAAACTAAAAGGTCATGTTTAGTCTTTTCTGCTAATTCAGTCAGGTATCTAATTCTCATTTGGAATCCATATAATGTGAATGTTCTGGGCCTACATCCCAAGTGTATAATTGATCTGCCAGTTGCAAGGTTTTTCGTGTATTTTTTAAACAAGAAAACTAACCATTTCAGAACTCTTGATTCTTACACTGGAATCAAATGAGACATGGCTATCTTCTTGGACACTTTCCAGTGCATCTAGGTTCTTCACTTTTGAACCTTGTCATCAACACACACACCCCAGTTTCCTCTACAGATGATGCCACCTGTGTCTCATCTGTTTTGGTGTGAAGGGATTCCATGCAATCCTCTAGGGCTAGGCTATGGGTGAAGTGACTTTTTCTCGATGATTGCAAGGTTACATTTGTTATAAAACAAGAGAGGATGTTCCATGCATGAATGTTTGGTTTTGAGTTTGCTTTTAGGTGCATTTCTATAATGTCTTTGTCATATGGACCAAAAATCAACCTTTTAAAAAAAATTCATTAGTACACACACACACGTAAATCTTGCAACTAAAGCAGCTATACCAAAAGTGGCCTACCGAGAACTCTTAGAACTCAGGAATATCAAGTGGGCTTGTTTCTGTTTTTAGTTGGAGGGCCAAAGAATTAGAGTGGGAGCTTTCTCAGCTCTCAGTCAAAGGGGCAGTGCTGTCTGAATCTTAGCATAAAGTGCTTTTTCCCAAGTGTCTACACGAAGTTTGAATTAAATCGATATTAACTAACACACAAGTATTATACAGTCTGATTAAAAACCCTTCTCAGTTGTTCAAGGTTTCTGTTTCTTGGCAGTTGAAGTCATACCATCTCTAGGTCTTCAGCTGACAATAGAATCCTCAAGCAAACAGTGGGGGCGGGGAGAGTGGGAGAATCCTTTCAAGTCTCCTCTAGAAGCCAGAAAGGGTACAAACATATTTCTTTCCTTCACAGGTTACTTTTATATAGAATGCTGTAAAACATGTTCTGTAGTATCTATGTAGGTATTTGTACTGTGCTTATCACCATGGTGTTTGTATGCCTATGTTCTCTCCACTGCTACTCTCTGCTGCTTTTCACTCCCACTGTTCCCCTCACCTCCCTCGGTGCTAACTTTTTGAAATCTATCAAAACATTAGAAATTCTTTTGAAATAATTATTTAAGTTTTGGTGAAAAATCATTTTGGATTTTTTCTTTGTATAATTGCTTGTATGTGTGTGTATTGCATCTATGCATATGTTAAAAAAAACACACACACACATTTTTACAAGGTAAGGCCTCAATCCTGAAAAGATTTTGACACATGCTTAACTCTACACACTGCAAGCGGTTTCATTGACTTCAGTGGTCATGTAGGATCAGAGGCCAAGTGAGCTATGTAAGCAGCCACACATTTTAGGATTCATACTAAAGAAATATCTTTCCTTATGCTGGAATAATTCTGCTTTCCCCGCTCATGCTTCATAAGGCAATCAAGGTATAATGTTGCTACAGTATGATGCATGCTCTGTCATCTTTTTGTGGTTGCCTAAATATAGAAGCCATGCACTCCCTCTTCTGTAGTGACGCACATTCCTATTGAGTCACTTACTCCACTTCGATCATCCTATCACTTGACATTGCTTAGATTGCTCTCTCTCTCTTCCCAAAGTAATTTATTTGGCAAGGCAGATGGAGTTGTTTCAATTAAACTTAAAAGTGGGGCTCTGTGTAGGCACAGGTGACACCCACACATAGCTTTGTTGCAGGATCATGGCCTAATTCTTCTATACTGCTTTCACTCTCGTTGGCACTGACAGAATGTCATACTGTGCTTCTCAATAGCTGCACTCAATTTTTCAAGCATTTTTGGGTGACAATTTAAAGAACACCTGCTTATTTTACAAAAACCCATCAGAAGGCTTGGGGGAAGGCAGTGAATGCTGGTTAACTCATATTTCCGCAAACCCAAAGTAGGAGCTGCATGAAATTCGCTTACATCTCAAGGGCCTCTTCAGATCCTTTAAATCAGCTTCTGTACCCAATGACTGGAAGATAGCTAATGTAACTCCAATATTTAAAAAGGGCTCTAGAGGTGATCCCTGAAATTACAGACCGATAAGTCTAACGTCAGTACCAGGCAAATTAGTTGAAACAATCGTAAAGAATAAAATTGTCAGACACATAGAAGAACATAAATTGTTGGGCAAAAGTCAACATGGTTTCTGTAAAGGGAAATCATGTCTTACTAATCTATTAGATTTCTTTGAAGGGGTCAGCAAACACATGGACAAGGGGGATCCAGTGGACATAGTGTACTTAGATTTCCAGAAAGCCTTTGACAAGGTTCCTCACCAAAGGATCTTATGTAAATTAAGTTGTCATGGGATAAGAGAGAAGATCCTTTCATGGATTGAAAACTGGTTAAAAGACAGGGAACAAAGGGTGGGAATAAATGGTAAATTTTCAGAATGGAGAGGGGTAACTAGTGGTGTTCCCCAAGGGTCAGTCCTAGGACCAATCCTATTCAACTTATTCATAAATGATCTGGAGCAGGGGTAGGCAACCTATGGCATGCGTGCCGAAGGCAGCACGCGAGCTGATTTTCAGTGACACTCACACTGCCCGGGTCCTGGCCACCGGTCCGGGGGGCTCTGCATTTTAATTTAATTTTAAATGAAGCTTCTTAAACATTTTAAAAACCTTATTTACTTTACATACAACAAGAGTTTAGTTATATATTATAGACTTATAGAAACGTTAAAATGTATTACTGGCACGCAAAACCTTAAATTAGAGTGAATAAATGAAGACTCGGCACACCACTTCTGAAAGGTTGCTGACCCCTGATCTGGAGAAAGGGGTAAAAAGTGAGGTGGCAAAGTTTGCAGATGATACTAAACTGCTCAAGATCATAAGACTAAAGCAGACTGTGAAGAACTTCAAAAAGATCTCACAAAACTAAGTGATTGGGCAACAAAACGGCAAATGAAATTTAATGTGGATAAATGTAAAGTAATGCACATTGGGAAAAATAACCCCAACTATACATACAATATGATGGTGGCTAATTTAGCTACAACTAATCAGGAAAAAGACATCGTGGAGTCATCGTGGATAGTTCTCTGAAGACATCCATGCAGTGTGCAGCGGCAGTCAACAAAGCAAACAGGATGTTAGGAATAATTAAAAAGGGGATAGAGAATAAGATGGAGAATATCTTATTGCCCTTATATAAATCCATGGTACGCCCACATCTTGGATGCTGCGTACAGATGTGGTCTCCTCATCTCAAAAAAGATATACTGGCATTAGAAAAGGTTCCGAGAAGGGCAACAAAAATGATTAGGGGTTTGAAACGGGTCCCATATGAGGAGAGATTAAAGAGGCTAGGACTTTTCAGCTTGGGAAAAGAGGACACTAAGGGGGATATGATAGAGGTATATAAAATCATGAGTGATGTGGAGAAAGTGAATAAGGAAAAGTTATTTACTTGTTCCCATAATATAAGAACTAGGGGCACCAAATGAAATTAACGAGTAGCAGGTTCAAAACAAATAAAAGGAAGTTCTTCACATAGTGCACAGCCAACTTGTGGAACTCCTTGCCTGAGGAGGCTGTGAAGGCTAGGACTATAACAGGGTTTAAAAGAGAACTGGATAAATTCAGGGAGGTTAATTCCATTAATGGCTATTAGCCAGGATGGGTAAGGAATGGTGTCCCTAGCCACTGTTTGTCAGAGGGTGGGGATGGACGGCAGGAGAGAGATCACTTGATTATTACCTGTTAGGTTCACTCCCTCTGGGGCACCTGGCATTGGCCACTGTCAGTAGACAGGATCCTGGGCTGGATGGACCTTTGGTCTGACACAGTACGGCCATTCTTATGTTCTTATGTTATGTTCTTATCAGCAGTTTGTCTATTTTAATGTATTTCTCAATAAACCATAGTCGATGTACGTTGTCCCTAAGATGTGTTAATACCCAACTCATCTTTCACATTTCCTTTTATAGCCAGGAGGAGGAATACTGGCATGGATTTTTGATTCTACATAATAATGCCAACCTTCATCCATTTCTTCTAGGTTCATGCTTATATTATCAGCCATCTAAAGAAGGAAATGCCATCTGTATTTGGAAAAGAGAACAAGAAGAGGGAGCTGATCAGCAGATTACCTGAAATCTATATCGAACTGCAACGAGAGCACCATATCTCGCCTGGGGATTTCCCAGAGGTCAAGAAAATGCAGGTACATTAACTCAAACCAAAGTGCAGTTGTACCCTGACTATTAACCAGTGACTTCTGACAAGCCTGGCAAAAGTAGGAACACGAAAGTGTCTCCCATAATGCTCTCAACAGTGTGGGTTCTGCAGGCAGTGGCAAGAAAGTGTCAGAAATTGATCATGATTGAAAACTGACTGTTGTGTCTCACACTAGATTAGCATGAGTTAGGATCACAATAATGAAATCAATGGATTAATTCCTCAGAAAAAAGTATCCTAAACTCTTAATAACATGACATATAGAAATCAAACCAGTATTTCATCTAGTTCAGTATCTTGTCCCTGTAGACAATTATGGAACAAACTAGTGGTTGGTTTGTTCCCTGAAATTACGGGTTTAGATCCATTATTTTAAAAAATCCTACTAAATGTAACTGTGGATGTTCATTTCCATATACATGTCTGATAATTTTTTTTAATCCTACTATGCTGTTGGTCTCAATGGTTTCTTATGGCAATGAGTTCTACAAGTTAATTATGCATTGCATAAAAAACAAATTTAAAAAACCCCCTTCTATCACTTTTAAACTTACTGCCTTTCAGTTTTATAGACTGTCCCCTTTCTCTTATGTTATGTTAACATGTAAATATGAGTGCCTAATTTACCTTCTTTGTACCATTCAGTATTTTGTATAACTCTTGTGTCTCTCCTTGTCTCCTATCTCATCTAAACAGTCCCATTCATTTCAGTCCCTATTCATATCTTTTCATGTCCTCTAATCATTTTCACCATGCATCTGAGATCTCTTCAATTTCTGCTATATCTGTGTTTAAGGTAGGGTGACCAGAAGAGAGCATGGTATTCCAAATGAAGGTGGACCATTGATGTATGTAATGGCAGCATAATATTTTCAGAATGGTTTTCTATCCTATCCTTTATACACCCTAACAGTTTTGTTTGCTTTTTTTTGACAACTACTATGTATTGAGCAGAGATTTTTATTGAGCTGTCCACAATGATGTTCAGGTCTCTTTCCTGAGTGGTTGCAGTTAATTTAGAAACCAGCAAGCTGTATGAGCAGTAAAACAAGAAAAACTCAAGACATAGTTCAGGAGTTGGACACTATAGGAATAATTAATCAGGAGGGAGGGGTGACTGCTTGAAAAGGTAGACTTTAAGGAAGGATTTATATAAAGAAAAGCAGAAGGGTACAATCTCCTTTTTGTTAGGCAGTCATTGATGGTGGAGTTTGGAAACAGGTAAATAAAGTAGAACACTTGAGACAGGCTTGTTACTAAAACGAACTCTTCAGTGGGGCTTAGTATTTGAAAAATGACTGGTGTATTTTCCTAAGTCTCAGCAGCAGATGGCAGCAAAGTTGTGACAAGCGATTTCTCACACACGTTCATGCTAAGGAAAGAACAGTGTGGCTAGCAGACTGAGTTGTGGTCTTGATCTTTGGTTCCTGAAACTAAACTCATCAGTACAGACTTTGTAGCAGGTAATAGTGAATGAATTCCAGCCAAATAGATTGATTTAAAGGAAACCAATAGACTTTGGGTCTTGCAAGCTTACAAGTGTATAATTAATTTTGTGTGCACATGCTTTTTAAGAAATGTGAGTCAGAACCACTAGACTCCAGAGTTCTATGGAGCAGGGAAGCCCTGAGTTAGCCATGATTTGTCAAAGCAATTTATCAGTGTTTAACAGGTGGCTGAGGCTGCCGGGGGGGAAGGGGAAAGTTAGAATGGAAAACTACTGTTCGTATGTTGAAATCTAGACTCCTAGATTGAAATCTTGGCCCTACTGAAGTAAATGGGAGTTTTGCCATTGCCTTGAATAGGATCAGGATTTCACCCCTATTCCTCCCAAGCGCATGACATGATGTACCTCCCTCAGCAAGTGTCCCCAAGACACTTCAAATGTTATGTCAGTTATCGAGATCTAGCCACAGCAAGATGAGCGCCATTTTAAAATCCAACTTTTCTTATTTTAATAGGTCAGCCTTCTTTCTGGTACCAGATATGTTTAAATGAGTTCCAATAGAACTGGTATACTTCTCATATTAAGGGTATGTCTACACTACGAGAGTAGTTCGATTTCACTTAAATCGAATATGTGGAATCGATATTGCAAAGTCGAACGTGTGTGTCCACACTAAGGACAGTAATTCGACTTTGTGAGTCCACACTAATGGGGAAAGCGTCGACATTGGAAGCGGTGCACTTTGGGCAGCTATCCCACAGTTCCCGCAGTCCCTGCTGCCCATTGGAATTCTGGGTCGAGCCGCCAATGCCTTCTGGGTAAAAAAATGTCTCGAGGGTGCTTTTGGGTAACTGTCGTCATCCGTCCGTCACTACCGCCCTCCCTCCCTCCATGAAAGCGCCGGCGGGAAATCAGTTTGCGCACTTTTCTGGTCAGTGACAGTGCGGACGCCACAGCACTGCGAGCATGGAGCCCACTGCGAGCATGGAGCCCGCTGCGACCATCGCTGCAGTTGTGTCCGTTGTCAACGCCGCGCAGCTTATCATCCACCTTTCCCAGAGGCAGATGCAGATAAATCGGGCGAGGAGGCTACGGCACCGCGGTGAGGGCCTGAAGTCTGAGAGTAGCACAGGCCTGTCAGAAAGCACGGGACCCAGCGCTGAGGACATCACGGTGACAATGGGTCATGTGGATGTTGTGGAACGGCGATTCTGGGCCCGGGAAACAAGCACGGACTGGTGGGACTGCATAGTGCTGCAGGTCTGGGATGAATCCCACTGGCTGCGAAACTTTCGCATGCGGAAGGGGACTTTCCTGGAACTTTGTGAGTTGCTGTCCCCTGCCCTGAAGTGCAATGACACCCGGATGCGAGCAGCCCTGACTGTCCAGAAGCGAGTGGCCATAGCCCTCTGGAAGCTTGCAACGCCAGACAGCTACCGGTCAGTCGCGAACCACTTTGGCGTGGGCAAATCTACCGTGGGGGTTGTTGTGATGCAAGTAGCCAACGCAATCGTTGAGGTACTGCTCTCAAAGGTAGTGACCCTGGGAAACGCGCAGGCCATCATAGATGGCTTCGCCGCGATGGGATTCCCAAACTGCGGTGGGGCTATAGATGGAACTCACATCCCTATCCTGGGACCGGACCACCAGGCCAGCCAGTACATTAACAGAAAGGGCTACTTTTCAATGGTGCTACAAGCACTGGTGGACCATCGGGGACGTTTTACAAACATCAACGTCGGATGGCCGGGCAAGGTTCATGACGCTCGCGTTTTCAGGAACTCTGGTCTGTTTAGACGGCTGCAGGAAGGTATTTACTTCCCGGACCACAAAATAACTCTTGGGGATGTGGAGATGCCTACAGTGATCCTCGGGGACCCAGCCTACCCGCTAATGCCCTGGCTCATGAAGCCCTATACTGGCACCCTGGACACTGAAAAAGAACTCTTCAACTACCGGCTGAACAAGTGCAGAATGGTGGTGGAGTGTGCTTTTGGCCGTCTCAAGGGGAGATGGAGAAGCTTACTGACTCGCTGTGATCTCAGCGAAACCAATATCCCCATTGTTATAGCAGCTTGCTGTGTGCTCCACAATCTCTATGAGAGCAAGGGGGAGACCTTTATGGCGGGGTGGGAGGTTGAGGCAAATAGCCTGGCTTCTGATTACTCCCAGCCAGACAGCCGGGCGATTAGAAGAGCCCAGCGGGACGCGCTGTGCATCCGGGAGGCTCTGAAAGCTAGGTTCCTGAGTGAGCAGGGTAACCTGTGACTATTAAGTTTATGTACAGAGAAGCTGAACCTGCCCCCCTTTCTTTACCCACTAAATGTTCAGTATCCTCTCCAGTTACATACCCCCTTCACCCCCTTCCAACACACGTTTAAAAATAAAATGACTTCTATTTTGTTAATGGACACCGTTTTCTTTATTACTGTTTTCGCGGGAATGTTTTAAACCTGGGACGCAGACTGGTGGGGAGCGGGTGTAGTGTACTGATGCAAATGATGCTTCTAAACTCCAGGAATGACAGGCTCC